GAGTCTCCTGCCTCAGCCTCCCAAGTAGCTGGGACCACAGGCGCCCACCACAACGCCTGGCTATTTTTTTTTTTGGTTGCAGCCGTCATTGTTGTTTGGCGGCCTGGGTGGATTCGAACCTGACACCTTAGGTGTATGTGGCTGGCACCTTAGCCACCTGAGCCACCGGCACCGAGCCTATAAGCCATATTCTATCACTACCTCATTATTTTGATAGGGAATTTAACAATTCAATTCTATCCATGAAAAGACATCAGAAAAACTCCCATATCCTATTTATTATTTAATCCTATCAAAATTCAGTCTTCAAGATTTAGCTTTACCAAAATCATCACACAGCACCCACATGAACAAAATGATTGTAGGTGCAGCGCCTGTAGCTCAAGTGGCTAGGGCATCAGCCACATATACCCTAGCTGGCGGCTTCAAATCCTGCCTAGGCCCACCAAAGAATGACAACTATAAGAAAAAAAAAAAAAAAAGCCAGGCATTGTGGCGGGCGCCTGTAGCCCCAGCTACTTGGGAGGCTAAGGCAAGATAATCGCTCAAGCCCAAGAGTTTGAGGTTGCTGTGAGCTATGATGCCATAGCACTCTACCTAGGGCGACAGCTTAAAACTCTGTCTCAAAAAAAAAAGGTTTTAAAAACAATTTTAACAATGAAGAATATTTGGCTTCAAAACATCAGTATCCTCCAAGTGGTATAAGAAAGTTTTACCTGCCCAGCGCAGTGGCTCACATGTGTAATCCTATCAATCTGGGAGTCCAAGGCAGGTAGACTGCTTCAGCTCAGGAGTTCAAGACCAGTCTGAGCCATTGTGAGCCCCCGTCTCTAAAAATAGCCAGGGATTGTGACTGGCTCTATAGAGTTTGAAGTTGCTGTGAGCTGTGGTGCCATAGCACTCTACTGAGGGTGACACACTGAGACTCTGTCTCAAAAAAATAAATAAATAAAAATAAAGACAAAAGAGCAAATGGATGGGCTCGGCGCCTATAGCTCACCGGGCTAAGGCGCCAGCCACGTACACCTAAGGTGG